TTCATATAGTCTGCCCTTCTTTGGAAATAGCAGTCATAATCTGTATCAGAAAGATCGTCAAATCATCCTTAAATAAAAAAAATAAATATTATGTATAATAATTTTATACAAATAATGATATATATATATATATCATACCTCACAGGGCAGTAAAGATTTCCTGCCAAACATCATCTCATACGGCGTAAATTTGGAGGATTCATGCCTTGATGTATTGTAGGCAAATACAATACCAGGGAGAACTCCAGGCCAATCTTTCTGATTGCCTTTTTTACACTTCAAAAGGGAATTTTGAAGAGTACGATTGGCTCTCTCTACCATGCCATTAGCCTGAGGATGGTAGGCACTTGTCACTCTCTGCTGGGTTCCCACGAGTTTGTGATATTCATTGCTCACTTGGTTTACAAACTCGCGCCCCTGATCATTAATTTGGACCTATAAATATGATAAATATCATTATATTATAAAAATTTCATCAACCTTGACTCTGCCATGCCTGCATAACAGTGAGTATAAAAAGAGGGTCACTGAATGGGCTGTCTTATCCTTTATAGGCTGTGATTCGATATATTTTGAAAAATAATCAACAGAAACCGCAATATATTTGAGCCCATCAATGCTCTCTGGCAATGAACATAGGTCTACCCCTATTTGTGTCCATACCTTAGATGGAATAGGAATAGACTGTATTTCCAAACTTGTTTTGTCAAATAGGGAATTGTATCTTTATAATAGGTCGCATGATTTTACAGTCAATGACATCTTGCCGCATTCCTTGCCACCAATATCTAAAAGACATAAATGAAATGCTATATTGTTTTTAAAGTTTTAATCATGTTAAAAGAAATTTGTTAAATATTAAATTTAAAAAATTTTTCCTATCAATTGAAAGAGCTGAGTATATTGGTACTGCTTGATGTATAAGTTTTTAAAGTTATAAATTCTTTCTAAAAGTTGTGCAAGCTTTTTGGGTCATATCAGGTTAAAACTGAGCAATATTTACTTCCCCTGATTATGTTAAAGTACATTTTAGAAGTGTTGCAAGCTATTTGGGTGATATCAGACTAAATTTAAGCGATATTTTAAACAATATTCTATTAATTGAAAGAGAATTTTATATTGAGTACTGTATCCTAACTTATAAATTGTGGAATTTATCAGTAATATTCATAAAAATTTAAAACAATATTTAAACCAGTTTATAAAATTATGTTATAAATAGTGTAAATATACCTTTCAACTAGTTTATCATATGTCTTGTTGATTACAAAGTGACCAGATAATGACATTTCTGTGAGATTTGTCTCACATCCTCCATGGAATGAGATTAAAAGTTTTTGTTGTTGGCTAAAGAGTGAGATAACTTCAGCATTATGTAGGTGATGGTATAATTTGTCATTCTCTAAGAAAAACTTGGCACATTTGACTCTAAGGTTTCTTTTTAAGCCATGATCGCCGACATAGGAGGTTGGGTAGGTTTTGCATTTTAGGTAATTATAAATATCATTGATAACATGGAGATTCTCTATTTAATATTTTTATATTAAAATAATAAAATATTTCACTTTTTGCATGAACAAGTTACTTTTTGAATAGGATGTTTGATTTCACAAATTAGATAAATAAAATAAAAATTCGATTCAAAATTTAAATTAGAAAATCAAATTTAATATCGAAAATTTTATAAAAATTTAAGTAATATTAAAAAAAACTGCATGATCATATAACTCCCCCCATCAATTTACATTGTAATAAAGATCTTTGTTATTAATCAACTACCTCCAAAACACTATTTATCAAAGGGGGAGTTAATCTATCATAGTGATTTCTTAACTCAGAGGTATGTGATAAGGGGAGTTAATTAATCACGCTACACCGGGTACAATATGCGATAAATTTATTTAAGGGTCAATTGAATTTTTTCACAAGAATTTACCTAATCTCTTTTACAGATCTAAAATTTCCAAGGATAATACCCATGTATCAATGCTTACATCAAATCAAGATAATCGACACTAAAGAAAGAAGTCCTCGAGACACTTGTTTTAACTAAGGAATGTTTAAAAATGTTCATTTTATTACTTTTTTAATCTTGTATTTATATTTTTTACAAACTAAAATTAGAATATAATATTAAAAGGTTAAGTTATAAAACGAAAAATAAAACTAAAATAAAAATATAATTTGAATAAGTTAAATGAATGCGCGTTACATAAATTAAAACATAATACTATTCAATAACCAAAATATATAATATTTTAATTTATAAATTCTTAAAATATAACAGACACATTGTATTAAGATGTAAAAATGAATTGAGAGAATCGCTAATAGATATAAAACTATATATCAAGTTACATAAACTCAACATCAGAACTAGCGCTCAGAAAAATAGAAAATGTAAATCTTGTCCAGCATTGATGGCACCTGTAAATATAAAAAAAAATTAAACATGATGATGTTTTGATCAATGATAATGTGAGAGTTTTATATAAAATGTGGATCCCTAGAGAGAATGACTAAAGAATTAGCTTGTTGCATCCAAATTATGGCGTAATTTTTCTTATAAAGGGCTAAGAGAAAACAAACAAAAATTAACTGGAAGTTTAACTTATGTTTCCAGCATTAAATTTAGTACTTTTATCGAAATATATATTGTTCACAAACGCAGATTTAATGGTTATCGTTTGGCCGCAACTCAAGGTTTCAAAATATCATATGAATATGTAACATTTGATTGGAGAAAATCTAAATTATAAGGTCTATAGGGCAGAATATTATTACCCCCGTATCAAAATAATTTTTCTAATGCTAGTAAACCTTTAAATTAGGATATACCATTTCATTCTGAATATGAGATAGCTGTTCTAGAATTTTTCTGGATAGTAAGTGTTAATATATAAATTTTGCATATTTTTTACTTTGTAATTAATAACCTTTTTGTAAAAATTCTTTCTTTTAAATTTATTTAATGACCTTTTATATTTTCTTAATTTTCGTAAATGTTAATTTAATTTAAGGACGAATTTGTTAAAAATTAACCTTAAATTGTATATATGTAAATAGTATTTAATATATATAGTTGTAAAATTTTCAATATATTTAGTAGTAGTAATAGTAATAAAAAAATGATAAATTAAATAAAAGATTTTAAAATATATTTTTTGGTTTCTCTTTACCTGCCTTCCATGAAAATATCAGTAAGGAACGAACATGTACAGTTTAACAGTGCAGATTGTTTATCCGATTTATACCTGATATGTCTAGAACATAAATCAAAACATGAGAATAAATACAATCGAGCTCCTATTCAAAATTATTATAAATATTTCGAGTTTGACTAAGATATAATTCCCTAGGCTATTATTTACAATTAATATTTATATTCAGGCATTAAACCTCTGCTAAAAGGGTCTTTACATACTATAAACGCTATTTAAACTTTAAAAAATAAAGGAACAATTAAGTTACACTCTTTGGGTTTTAAGGATATTAAATATTTTAAACCTGAATCTAGTTTTTTAAAGTTAATATATATATATACAGTTCTCATAAAACAATGTTGGATTTTTCTTACTAGCAAATTTTATTTTACGAGACATCAAAGTCTTCACTTGATACAAAAGAGTCAATTATTCTTTCTTGGCGGCACTCAAATAAGTACATTTATGTATGTCCCGACAGCTTAATGTTTAACCCAAAATCAAATATGCAAAGGAATCACGGATTACCCTTTAAATATATGGTTTACACATTTAGCGAGCATTAAATCATTTTCAAAATCCTAAATTCCTATAAAGTGGTCTGGAAAATATGTGAATACAAAAATGACGAAAATCCAAAGTATCATAATAAAAAAAGCTGCACAAAAAATAGTATACTTTTCTCTGTTTGTATATTTTAGGATTTCTGATTATTACGGAGATAATTTTGTATATAATTATCTATATTAGAAAAAGGAAATAATTTGCAAACGCAACTTTTAATAACAAATGAATAACATCAGGAGAAAAAACACAAAATGCATTTATGCCTCTAATATTTTTTATTAAAAAAAATATATTTTCATAGTCTAGTATTTAAATATCAAAATTATTATCCAAAATTACATCACAATTATATTTAATATAAATAAAAAAAATTCATATTTTGAGGGGGTTCAAGCCTCAACGTACTCCCCAACCTCCCCATAGTGACTCTATTATCAAAACTATAGAACTAAAAAAAAATATTATAATTTTGTCAAAAATTAAATTTTTTAATGATAAATATTTTACCAACACCCTAGAAAAATCATGCAGCGTTAAAATAACTTTTCTCTCCAATTCAGGCCATTCATAAAACCAAATAAAAGTGCGATAAATAAAGGTCCTGACTTTTAATATTGAGGTAGTAGACTGGTAGAGAAGTTTAAGAATTTAATTTATACCTATCTTTTAAGCAATAAGTGAGTAACTTCAAAGCAATATTAATTTTCATAATGCAAATAATAAATTAAGAATTAGAATATCAATTTTGCAAAACAATATAATATCAGTTTTACAAAATAATATAATAAAAACATTTTCTTTAACAAGGTTATGCTATAAGAAAAATGTATAAATTCAATATAATAAAATTTTTTTTTTTAAATTAAGAATTTAATAAAGAGTTATTGCCCAAATGAATTTGAAGTAAAATAAAGATGTATAGGATAATAAAAGTATAATATTAAGTTAAGCCTTTTATAGAGTTTATAATAGTATATGAAATCAAATAAAATTTTGGAAATTAGAGGGAAAATATGTATTATAATAGTATTATATCTTTTTGACTTACACTAACAGTTATATGTTGTTATATTGCCATTTAGTTTTTAAATATATATGTTAGAATAAGGTAATAAAATAGATTTCTAAAATATTGTGTATAAAGATTGTATATTTTATATATATTTTTTAAATTCTATTTTATTAGATTTAAATAATATTTATTTTTGATTTCAATATACGGATTTAGCTTACTTATTGAACCACGTTTCAGCTCCATAGGTAAAACATACGGTAAAAATGGGAGCTTATCGATACATTCAAGAGATATGGAGAAAAAAACAATCTGATGTAATGCGATTTTTATTAAGAATTCGTTGTTGGCAATACAGACAATTGAATACCATTCATCGAATTCCTCATCCAACTAGACCCGAGAAAGCTAGAAGGTTAGGTTATAAAGCTAAACAAGGTAAATGATTGTTTTCATTTACATTTATATAAATTCTTTTTAAGGCTACCTTTTATATCGTGTAAGAATAAGAAGAGGTGGTCGTAAAAGACAAGTTCCCAAGGGTAATACAAACGGAAAACCTGCAAATCAAGGAGTTAATCAGTTGAAATGGCAACGAAATCACCAATCGTTAGCGGAAGTTTTTAAAATTTAAATATAGTGTATTAGATATACTTATAGGAAAGAGCAGGTCGTAGATGTGGAGCTTTAAGGGTACTTAATTCATATTGGGTAAGTCAAGATTCTACTTTCAAATTCTATGAAGTTATCTTGGTCGATCCAATGCACAAAGCGCTTAGAAGAGATCCAAAAATGAGTTGGATAGCAAAACCAGTTCACAAACATAGAGAACTTAGAGGCCTTACTTCTGCTGGGAAGAAATCTCGAGGATTGGGTAAAGGCCATAAATTTAATAAAACAAAAGGTGGATCAAGAAAAGCTTATTGGAAACGACAAAATACACTGCAGCTTAGAAGATATCGTTAAATTATTGATTTTAAAATATTCAGTTTACAAATTAATTTTGTTTTATCAAAAAAAATTATTTGTAATTATATAATAATACATAATCGAAGCAAAATAAAGCAAGTACATACCTATAAAAAGAATCTTAACAAAAATTTTATTCCCAGAAAACTTTATACTTATTTTGCACTCAATTAAATTCTATCAGAGATACAATGATAACAATTTTTTTAACTGATACCAATACAATCATGGTATCTGATGATACACAATACTGATATCAATAGTAATTTATTATATTTGTTGAAAAAGCAAAGATATATAAATATAATTCATGAAATTAAAAGATATAAAAATTAACAGTACATTTCTTTGTTCTCATATAAGAATTTTTTTATAAATTAATAGCATAAGTTGACTAAAAAAGAATTTAGGAATTTTTTAGATTATTATTGAGTATTGATATCAACTTTTTAGACCTGCAAAATTGAACCTAATACAGAAATAGATGATTTCTAGATTTTTAAATCAAATAATTTAGTATATTATTTATAAATGGGTATTTTAAAAAAATAATTTTTCTTATATTTTATTTAGTAAAAAGATACAATTTTTGATTATCATATATATGTTTATAAAATGCATAGAGCCCTTATAGAATAATCTTGCTGGTTTAGGAAATAATGAATGATTCAAATTAGTGATCTGCATTAGACCTAATTTTTCAAGCCTGGCCTGTTAAAATGCTATACCAGCATGGCCCAACCCAAAATTTTTTAAAAGGTTTTGCTGGCTTGACCAGAACTAGAGAATTTTTTAAAATTGGCCTTCCCCTAATTTATTTAAATATAGAATTTAATTTTTTAAAAATATATATTATATACTTGGTGTCTAGTTTCTATATATAAAATCAAATATTTTTATTTTACCTAAAAAATTCAACATAAAATTAATAAATTTAGATGATATATTTAAAAAAATTTGCAAAACCTGATCTGGCCAAAATTTTATTTAAAAAATAGGCCCAGCCTGAATAGGTATGGGTTGGGCCTTTTGCAGATCTCTAATTCAAATATATGTAAAAATAAATTATGTTTTTTAAATCAAATAATTTTAGTTATAAGCATAAATTTTCAAACAAATATTTGATAATTTTTAATAGGTCTAAGTGTATCTCTTAATAATATTCTTATAAATCTGATTAATTATTGGGTTTGTTTATTAAACAAATAATTGTAATATCTTAATATATTTTTTTAATTGTATATATTCTAAAAATAATTATTTTAGAAAAAATTGGTTGATAATAATGTCATTTATTTGGTTAACATTAAACATTTTAAAATATTTAGAAAGAATTCCAATTGCCTACAAGAAACACTTTATATCATCAATAAGGTTTTAAAAGCCATTTTTTTTATAATTGTGATAGTCCTAAAAAATTAATTTAAATCTTTTTAACTTATCAAATTCAATTATGTTAAAAATTTTGATCCAAATTATTAAATATTTTGATCCAATTTGTAATTATCAGGGATTTCTGACTAAAATAGTGGGGTTTTTGAACATTCCTATCATTAATCTTTATTTAACCATTAATATGATTTCATTACATTACATCAATACCAGGAATCTAAACCGTAACAAATATTCGTTTAGGTTCAGATAAAAATAATGATTCAGTTCATAAAAATAATATTATCATTGATTTGAACCTTTAAAAACTTGTTCAAATCTTTTTGTTAGTGTAGATTTATATAAAGAAAATATTTTTAATAATAGTATCAATATAGTGTAAAAATAATATTGAGCAGAAATTTTGCAAATTCTCTTATATTAGGAGAAGGAATAAATTTTATGACTAGGGACACTTCCATATGCTAACTTGTTTAACTCTTACTGTCTAAGAGCAATATACAAAAATAATTACTAATATATATCAGTCAGAACTGATTATTAATCATCTGTAAAAGAGTTAAAATATAAGTTTAAACTGGGTTACATGCATTTATAAGGCTTGGTTGATAAATTTTTTATTGATTTGTTTCACGGCAACATAATGTCAAAAATAACATTGTCTATTAAAAATTTTAAAACGGTTAAATAGAATTTTAAAAGATAAAATATCTAAAAAACAAAATAATATATTATTTAGCCTTCATTTTTTAATCATTCTGTTCCAAAATTTCTCTACCATAATCATGGGTCATATTCGTTTTTTTGTATAACTTAATTTTTTACTTGTTTGTATTGAGAGTATTATAGTTTTCAATTCAATAAATGAATTCTTCAGGAGTATATTCTTTCATAACAGGAATATTTAGAATAATCCCCCATTTGCTTTATTATATTCTGATCTTTTATTAAAAATATAAAATAATTTTTTTAAATGCATATAGAACACTAATACTCAACTAAGGAATTATAACTAATTGTATAATATCTATTAATAGAAATATCAGTTATCCATTTCCATATAATTTTAATCATTTTTTAGGCCTGAAGGTTTTTGAATATATTGATCCATCCCTATTCCATGACTTTACTCAGAGTTATGTAGGTCCCTGGTATTTTGTTTTAAAATATAAATTTTGCTTCATAATAATTAAACTACTATGATTTCTAATAATAATGTATTACACAACTTTTTAATTCAATTATAAAAATATGTTTCTCAAAAAATATTATGAACTAAAAAATTTTATGTTATGAAATAAAGAGTTATGACTCAATTGATAAGTTAATGTTTTTGAAGTCAGTTAACATTTGATATATATACATATAACTGGGGCTAATGCTAGCTACTACCAAAGACGGTTATAGAATGATATAATATTTTTTTATATCCAACTGCCACTGGATCAATATTTAAAAACAGAGTTGTACAAAAGATCTTCTTTGAAGATTTTTGAGCGAGATCTAGCTCAGCTCAAAAATTTGAGCAAGATCTTTGAAGATGTTTTATTTTTTAAAAATTTTGTGTAAGATCTTTAAAGATCGCTGCGATCAACGATCTTCAAAGATCTTCATGATTATTTTTTTACCCCTTTATTAAAAGCCCAGATGTTTTTCAATTTTCATCAAGGCAGGAGGAGAGGTATAAAACATAAAAGAAATATTATATTAATAAAATTGAAAAACATATGGGCTTTTAATAAAGGGGTAAAAAAATATTACACAAAATTTTTAAAAAATAAAAGATCATCAAATTTTTTTTTATTTTGAGCAAATGTACAACTCTGTTTAAAAAATTGTAAATTTTTTGAAAGCATCTGGACTAGTTGATAAAATGTGGGCATGCCAATTTGATATTTCTTAAATTTAATTCGACAAAGAACATAGTTTTAACTAAAGCCAGCATGGTTCTTACCTATCAGTGTCTATTAGGGAGGGTAGGGGGAGCTATCTTCCTAATTTTTTGTAATTGTATAAAATATTATTTAGATGTTATATAAAAAATAGAATGGAACATTCGAATTAATAAATTTGATGTGATTATCAATGACATAATGTCATTGGTGATTATTTTGAAATTAAAATAACTAATAAATAGTCGTAATCGTTTTATTATATTTTTAAGGAGTGGTAAATTTATTGAGGGGTTATGAAGTAAATTAGATAAAATAGGCAAAATATTTTGTTTTAATATATTATTTAATACCTTTTAAATTTATTATATATTGCTAAACATCGACCAAATCTATATATTCCATACAATCAGTCATTACCTTTGCGTAGCTACGATGTACGAGGGGGGGGGTTCGGATTTGGAATCCCCTCCCCAGAGCAAATTTTTTTTTAAATTATACGTTCAAAAGACTCAAAAGTGACTTTATATCAAATAAATACCATGAATATTTATATTTTTCTGGTTTTTAGTTTGTGGAAGGATATATTACTATTAAAATTATTCTGGATGGTATTATTATTAAGTCATATCTACTAAATTATAATAACATATTATTGATGAATTTAAAGAAAATATTTATTATATATTATCGAATATATGGTTCGAAAATAATATGAAATAAAATAGTGCATAATCTACTTTCTGATACTTATATTTCTAATAATATATATTTGGTTTATATTTTGTTGCATTTTTATAAATGAAATTATTAAAGAGATTAAGATTTATAACTAAAAAGTAAAGATATATCACTTATAATTAAAGCAATTTATATGTGTAATACTAATAGTTTCAAAGTATATAATTTATAATTAAGGCATTGGCGTACGCAGCGGGGGGGGGGAGTAAACCCCCCCCCCCCCCCAAGCAAAAAAATGCAGATGCCGGATATATTTTTCAAAAATATTATTGTTTATATTAATTTATATTTGTTAATATTTATTCGTATCTCATATTAAATATATATTTAATCAAATTTATTATCACATTTATCTACTAAGTTATTTTATCTATTAAATTCGATTTTAAGTTTTCCGGCGTAATATTTACTTATTATTTTCAAATTTTTAGTGGCGTAATATTTATTTACCATTTTCAAATTTCTAGTCAAATAATAATTATTTCTGAAACTTCTTGTCCAACAGGGAAAAAGAAATTGCAAGCTTGTCCAACAAGATAGTCTTCGCCATCAAGCAGTATATGGAGTTAGGAGAGATTATTTGCTATTACTTAAATATCACAATGGCCTGAAAGAAATATTTCCTCAGAAGCAAGAAAATTATTGGATTCAATGCTTATTCCATATTTTTTTTCTCAATCGAATGTATAATTTAATTATACAACTATATGTAAAACTTTTCAAAAACATGACATTAACATGATTAAGAAGATAAGAATAGCGGAAAGCATTTTATTAGAACTCAAGAAAATTAGGGCTAATGTTGATGAAGAATTTCATATTTTATATTTTATTGTTGAGTCAAAAGCAGAGTTATACGTGTTTAATATTTGTCTCCCTCGACTTGTAGCAAGGCAAGCTCATCATTAAAACATTAATATAGGATCAGTAGAAGAGTATATCTTAAATCAGATACATTTATAACCCAAATAAATGAATTTTTAATTCATCATGCAGCACTTACTAATCTGCAAATAACTTCCACAAAAGCCTTCCCAATCTTTTTTAGATGGTGATAGAAAAAAAATATTTGTTAGATTTTTATTATGTA